ATCGTATCAGGAAGGTGGGCATCCACCTTCTGATTTTTAGTTCCTTGATGTCTGATAACTGGTCCCTTCTGCACCTTGTGGTCAGTCAGGCTGGTGTGCTTCTTCCATGTGGGCTTTGATGCTTCTCAGCTGGATGGCCGCTTGTTTATCTTCAAGCCTTTAAGACCCCAGATGCTTTATCTTTTGATAGCCTGGCACCATTAGCTCTCTTCACCACATTTGCTTATGCACACATTTGGTAGACTACATTTTTCACAATTTTAATTTGTATGGTTGGCAATTGGCTGAATTCGGAAAGTTAAAGCTACATTTGGAGAATAATGACTGGGTACTCCAACTCAAAGAATCTCTTAAAAAACATAAGGCCAATTACATAAATTCTGTACTCTTTAATCTCTTTTCCATGCTCATTTACACAATTCATCATTGATACTAGAAATGCATGCATCAATTATTTATTGTATATTCTAAAATTTCCTTAATAACATCACTAATAAGTAACTGTTAATTATGCATTTATTTACTACAACTGCCTTAGAATAGCTGATAAGCTAATAACTACAGTTTAGCCACATTTACATTTAATCATTTCAGTGGAATTCTTTTCTCTCACTACATTTTCATATTGTTTTGGTGCATGCATATGGAAGGCAGTAGATTGTTTTCCATGATCATAGATTTTAAATATTTACTTGGTAGTGCTGCATAATTTAGAGTGCTGGAGTTGGAAAGCAGTTTGCATGGTAGTTGATGCATTTCAGTGTTACAAAGTATAATTTCCCTCTGGGAATGCAGTATGGAGTTGTAAAATGAAAGTGTTTCTCTTCATTTTTTTTCCCCCTGACCTGCTAAATATTTTGCTGTAAATTCACAGAAAATATTTTTTTCATATGATATGCTAATGCACGCTACCACAAGGAAAATATCTTCACCATAAGACCTTAGGGAAATTGTCATAAAGGCACCAGGTGACTTGTTAGATGTATGTTATCTGTCCTAAAAAAAATCTTAACAGCTTCCTGGATATGGAACCACAGGCTATCATAATCAGGAATGAAGCCATTTACTTTGCTTATTCTAAAAAATGTTTAATTTGTGACCTTGTAACTCTGGTCTTGTGATTTGGTAGCACGCGCCCCCCCCTATGCACCCCACCCCCATATAACAGAAAAGTAACAGCTCCAGTTACCTGTTTGTGAGAATAAGGAAAAAGGTAATTCTAACCATTAAACTCTCAAACTCAAACTCATTGCTATCCCAATAGATTCAGACTGATAACGACAGAGTAGAACTGTTCCTGTGGGTTTCTGTGACTGTAACTCTTCACCCAAAGAGAAAGCCTTAAGGTTAGGAGCCCAATGTCCAATCCACTCTGCCACCTCACTCACTGAGGCCATGGAGTCATGACTGACTGAGACTGAAACGGTTAAAGCCCAGTCATTCTCCCTTGGAGCAGCTGGTGGTTGAACTGCCAATCAGGAAGCTGGCAGCCCCAACGCTTAACCACTAGACCAGCAGGGCAGGGTGCGAGGGCTCCTTAAAGTGTAAAATATGAAACATTTGAAAAACATGCTAAGTTTAATTTTGAACTTTTCAGCCCTGCTTTCTGAAAGTTTTCCCTAGGTAGTTTCATAGTTCTGTACTATATACTAAAAAATGTTAGCTAATTTTCACTTTTGACCTTGACTAAAATTTCCTATGCAATTCAGAATTCTGCCTGACCTACTTGCCCCATAACATCTAGTGCTATAATAAAATGACATAGAATTATCTTTTTCAGTAATTTAGTTATCTTGCGTTTATCTCAACATTCTATTGAAGTGAGGGCAAAACTTTTCAATTTATAAAAATTTCGACTGGCTTTTCATTCCTAGCAAATCATCAGAATGTGAAAAACAGCATACATATCTCTTGATATTTAAATTAGTGTCTACCTATGGTCACCACTTAGAGTACTTTCTCCAAAGGACAGGAGCGTATACAGATTTGTTTTTGTTCTTTTACTAAATTGGAGTTGATAGAAAGGTTGACCTTGCACTCCATAAGAAAGTTTAAAGAGTCCTTGAAGTCGCGTTTGTGGGCCCGCAAGGGTTAGGTGGCTGGGATTTGGGAAAGGAATAAGGAGCGCAGTGCATATTGTATCCTGTAGTTCCTCAAGAAGAGGGAAGGGAGCCGTGTTGCATGGCATGTTGGGAGTTGAAGTCCAATTGTTCAACAGGCTCCACCAAACCAAACCAACCCCCTCTGCCAGAGAATTGGTCCTTGCGGTTTCTGAGACTGACTCTTTAGGAACAGCCTCCCCTTTCTCCCGCCAAACGCCTGTAGGCTGCTGAGTTTAAAGTCCCTCACCTTGAGGGTGTCAGGGCAACGCTTAAATCCCTGCGTCACCAGGACTCCTTCCAGGAATTCACGGCAGCCCTTACGTGCCTTGTCTAAGGATCCCGGGTGCTGGAGGGGGTTATGAGTTGGACCCGAATTGCAAGGTTGGCAGTTCGAAATAACTAGCCACTCTGCAGTTTTACCCTGTCCTACAGGATCCCAATGAGTCGGAATCAACTGGGCGGCAATGAGTGAGTGAATGCGATTTGTTTATCAAGAGCGATCACTTGTAATTGAACACTTTCTCCTTAGCGCTGCACTGGCCGCGTTGGTGGTTCTAGGAGCCGAGGTTGCGAACCAGTGGGGGGCGGGAAAGTGGTGGGCAGGGCGAGCCGAGGGGGCGGGCGTTGCCATGGCGGCCACCAATGGCGAGGGCCCAATGCCCCGGAAGTGGCTGTCGGCTAGGTTGGAAGGGGCGGGCCCTCACTACGGCGGCCGGGGAGCGTCAGTCGCTGAGGACGGAGGTGGAGCGTCAGCTGGAGACAGACTGGTGTGGTGGCGGCCGCTGCTAGCGGCGGAGCTTTCCCCGGGTTGATGGCTCCTGCACAAGCGTTACCGTTTTCCAGAGCTCCCGTTTAGGTGAGGGGACGACTTGAGGCTAGCGGGGCAGGAGAAGGATGGGACTTAGTGTCTTTGCTCCCCGAGTGACTGGGATTCTTGGGGCCCAGGCCACAGTGGAAGACCCTGCATCCCACCTCCTGGGCTCTCTGATGGTTTTGGCACCTCCCTCATCTGCCCTTTCCAGTGTCATTTCTCTTCGGACTCTCCTCGCTGCATCTGGGCTCCCGAGATAACAAACTTCTTGCGGCCTCTCTTCGTGCGGCATTTCTTCCACATTCCAGACACGACCTACGGCCCCCCGAACTCCCGAATCCACCTGGCCCCCTCCCTTTTTCAGTGCTCTGCCCGCCCCGTTCAATAAGTAGAAACCCGATCCCCCAAGCTCTCACTGTTTCTAAAACTCTCCCCTGCGTTTGCCGGTTGTTTTTGCTCCAGACTGTAACACGCAAGCCTGAATGAACATCTTAAGACTCTCCCGTCTAGACTTGACCCTGACTCACTTCGTTGTCCTTGGTTCTTAGGGGAAGGAGCCCTGGTGGCATCGTGGATTACACGTTGAGCAGCTCTAACCACAAGCTCGCAGCAGTTCTAACCCACCAGCTGCTCTCCGGGGGATGAATCTGTTTGCTTCCTTAAAGATTTAGACTGAATCCCAAAGGGGGCAGTTCTGTCCTGCCCTTTAGGAGCGCTATGGTTTGGAATCAACTCAGTGGGTGTGAGCTTGTTGGAGTTTATTGGCTCTCCCTCCTCTCACCCCCATCCACATATGAAGGTTGTTTAGGTTGGCTGTCAGAATACATGTTACAGATCATTGTGAAGATCCCCAGTTCACGTGATGACTGGTAAATTCCTGAAACCTCATGGATGAACTCAGCCTGACTCAATGTTTATTGAGTTTATACAAGATGCCTCTGATTTGTGCTGATCAGTCCCCATCTAAGGTTCTTGCTAGCTTAACTTGAGAGGGAATTGCTTCATCTTACAGCTCTATATGGTCTCCAGGTTAGGAAAGAGTTTCATTCCTAATTGTGTCAATGTCAGCATTGGAAAGTTGTCTAACATCAGCTAAATGTTTGTCCTAGTATACAGTATAAAGTTTTAAAGTACACCTTTCTTTGGAGCCCCGGGTTACATGCTGCGCTGCTAACCACAAGGTCAGCAGTTTAAAACCACCAGTCCCTCAGGGAAGGAAGATGATGCTTTCTGTTCTTGTGAAGATTTACAGTCTTGTAAACCTAGAGAAGCAGCTCTGCTCTGCCTATAGGGTTGCTATGAATTGGAATGGACTTGGTGGCAGAGGGTTGGTGTTTTGAGGGAACTTTTCTGTGCATAAGAAAGAATTACAGATAGATGGAAACATATTAGTAAAATAGTACAATGATAATGATATTGTTTTGATATGGGCCACAAAGTAGTGCCTGTTTGTTATGATGAACCATAGTAAGAGGGAGCTCTGGATCACAATGGAGTGCTTTAACCACTGTGCCACCAGTCATTTAGCATTTATTAAGCAGATGTTTTTCTAGGCTTCTGTGGAATAGTGGTGAATAAATATCTGTATTCTCTTAGAATGCAGAGGAAGGGACAAGCATTCATCACTTAGTCTGTCAAAGAAATTTAAAATTACTATGTTAAGTGCAGTAATAAAGGGCTTTATGTTATGCAAAGGAAGAACTGATTATAGCAGGTATGTAAGTCTGGGTGGGAGAACCCGTTTGGGAGAGTATTTTGGACACAGTGGTGATGGAGATGGGGAGGTAACAGGATGAATTCCAGAGATGCTCTGAAGGTGAGACTTGGTGATGAGTCCGATGGGAAAGGTGAGGGAGAGGGCAGTGATATCAGTGACCACAAGGTGTTTGGCAGTCCACGGAGAGAGCATTGAATAAGGACTGGTTGGGGTTGGAGGGATGAGTGCTTGCTTTGTTTATGAATATGGCTGCAGTCATCAAGGTTAATTCTTAGTCAGTTACTTTCCCTTTTAGGTCATTGCTTTGGTGAAGCACTCTTGGAGTGGTATACCTGCAGTACGTTTTTTCAGCATTCCCTTCCACTCTCCTCCCTAGTAGGAAATGCCTTTTAGACATCTGGAAGGATGGTGGTATATGTTTTGAAAGGTAAATCATATACGAGAGAGCTACAAAAAGTTCGCAACCAAATTCCATTATTCTGTTCTTCCAGGATTTTTCAGGAGGCCCTTCATATATGAATAGGCAACTGAGAACTGAGTAATCCATAATCTTCATTTTCATGTGGGATTTGACCGTAAATTGGATGTGATTAAATTCTAATGTTGTTCTTTAGGTGGCACATAAGTAAAAGGTGAATGTGCATTAGGGGAAAATGACAGTTTGGTTTTTCTTTGAAGAAACATCTTGTATAATTGTGTGAGGCATAGTAAAGCAGTACAGTGCATGCAGTGGTTAACAGCGTGGGTTTTGGAGTCAGGCTAGCTGAGCTCTAGGTCGCTTTGGTTATTTATTAACAGGGTGACCTTGTAGGAATTATTTAGCCTTTTTGAATCTTAAGGAGCCCTGGTGGTATAGTGGTTATGTGTTGGGCTGCCAACTCCAAGGTCAGCAGTTCAAAACCATCATCAGCTGCTCCTCTGGAGAAAGATGAGTCTTTCTAGTCTTGTAAAGAGTTACAGTCTCGGAAACCCATGAGGCAGTTCTACCCTGTCCTATAGGGTCGCTGTGAGTCAGAATGGTCTCTGTGGCAGTGAGTTTGTTTTTTATTTATGTGTGTGTGTGTGTGTGTGTGTGTGTGTGTGAATCTTTGTTGTTTCTATATTTCTTAATCTGTAACACGGGGATAAGAATGACACGTGCCTTATAGAGTTGTAAGGATTAAATGAGATGGTACATGCCCATACTGAAAGGTCAAAAGTTTGAACTCATTAACCATCCCTTCAGGAAAAGATGTGGCAGTCTGCTGTTGCAAACATTACCCATCGAAACCGAAACCTACTGCCATTGAGTTGATTCGGACTTATAGCAGCCCAAATAGGGTTCCTGAGACTGCAAATCTTTACCTGACGTCACCACCAGAGCTGCTTTGTAAAGATTACAGCCTTGGAAACCTTACGAGGCAGTTCTGATCTGTCTGATAGGATAGCTGTGAGTTGAAATCCGCCTGATGGCAATGAGTTGGGTTGGTTGGGTTAGTTATCGTTGAAGAAAGCTTGGTGGCCCCGTGGTTAGGTACTTGGATGCTAATTGGAAGGTCTAATAGAAAAATGTTGACAGCTCAAACCCACTTACACCTGTAAGGGAGAAAGATGTGTCAGATTGCTTCTGTAAAGATCACTGCTCTGGAAACTGTTTAACCATGAGATCTTTGTCTACCTTCTACTGGCTTTGAGTTAGGATTCAAAGGGTAATGAGATTTAGCCTAGGTGTGGATCCAGTGATGGTGGAAGCATCTCAGTGCTGGTGGGGGTCTCTATGTGGCTCCTCTGGCTCTAGAGCACTGGTTGCATCACTGTAGCTCCATCAGGCTCCTAGTCAGTAATGTCTTGTAGGGAGTGAGCCTGTGTCCCACATCCAGTGAGCTATTTATCTCTGTGGCGCCTCCAAATGAGGTCATCAAGCTCTGACCTGATTGACAGGCTATCCTCCACCCCTTCACTCTTAATTCTCAAATTGACAACAGATTATGTAATTACCACAAGTGCTGACATATTTTGGTGGGGAATGATACTTAGACACTAAGCTCTAGGCATTGAAGATGCTAATTTCTCTTAAAATGAATAAAGATAGGAAATATCTTGAGAGGGCTTCAAAAAGTTCCTAGGCGAATAGATTGAAAAAAGTAATCGGAATTTTCCCAACTTTTTTTAGCCCTCTACCCATGAATTTATAGAATATCTCCAATTCAAATTTCAGTATAAGAGTTTTTCACCTTCCCCCAAATCATATTCATATCTCCCTCTTCTCATATGGAAAATTCTGATTCTCATTCATATCAATGTATTTACTCATTTAATCTGTCTTATAGCACAATTGAGGCTTTCTTCTCTCATCAAGAGCTATAGTCTCAGAGACCCACGGGGCAACTTTACCCTGTCCTGTAGATCACTAGAGTCAGAGTTGACTCCTGGCAGTGAGTTTCACTTTGGTTTATGACACAGATAAAATAATGGTAGAGTTATGAGGCCACTGTACTTTCAACAATAAATATGTCAAGTAAAGTTTGTTTTTTTTCTATCTTCTATCCTTGGAAGATAGCCTATTAAAGATATATAGCAAAGTTATTTGAATTGTTTTTTCCATGTAATTATGTTATCATTTGTGTTAGGCAGGGTTCTCTAGAGAAACAAAACGAGGACACTTAGAATTATATATATTTATATGTAAATATATTTATGTAGTGAGAAGGAATATAACAGCTAATTAGTCCACACAGCAGTACAGAGGGTTCAGTTCAATTCACTTTCATGGAACAGTTAATATACTGAAAGTCGTTCAGTAGATTACTCATGCAGGCTGCAGGTCCAACATCCAGGGAGTCTGCCCTCAGGTAGAAGCCAGTAAGGAGGGTGGGGGAGAAGAGGGGAGCATAGTGAAGCAGTCCTGATCGATCCTCAAGAAGCTTGCCGAAGCAGGTCTTGATGGAACCTCAAACTCTAGCAATGCACGCATGGCAAGGTGACATGATCCACGGTTGACTCGGCCCACAATAGCACAGCACACAGTTGAGGCAAAGGACTAGCTCAGGCAGCAGAGCGCTCGCCAGTCGGATCACCAGGGAGAAAGAGGGGAAGCTGGCCCGCCTTGGAAAGCATTTAACTCAGCTGCCCTCCAATCAAGCTGCGACCTGATTAAACCCTGCCCACACGTTCCTACAGAAGCCTAGTTGGCAAAACAAACCTATCATACATACCACGTGACATATTGTTCCTCCTAAATTTTTTCCCTTAAATTTTATTTATTTTATTCTTGTTTAGAATATATACTGCAAAAACTCACCAAACTCAAACTCACTGCCATTGAGTCAGTGCTGGCCCATGGCAACCC